TATATATATATATATATATATATATATATATATATATAAATATACAGTATATATAATATTCCTCGTAGAGCTCGTAGAGTCATTGCCTGTATCTCCTTGGTGTCTTGCATCCTTATCTTCCCAGTCCAAACATCATCTTGCCTCTCACTTTATTCATATCGTACAGTTTGAAGCGGTATTTGGGGAACTAGTCGTTTGCTGACGGCACGACCAATCCGAGCGCGTCTCACGTTTTATGCCCATATATGGCAAGAGCCGGTGAAAATCCATGAGTGGGGATACTGGGAGCCTCGACGAGTCCATTTACTACCAGGGGTGTCTCTCAGTAATTAAATTTATCAATATTACTTATTTAAAAAAGCCGGTGAGTCATAATCCAGATGATTAAAATTTTTTTATAGATAAATTATCAATCCCTCGTAATACTTATCCTAATTTCTTCCTAATTCCCAGTGTTAATTAATTTATTTTTAAGGATTTTCAATACCGGAATAATCTTACCGACCATACCTCCAAGGATTAGTCCAAAAGGACGCTGGTTTGCGTTTTAATTCATGTAACTCACTACCTACTCGCGTTGTCGCTCGTGTCACGACTCTTGGTTGCTCCTGTCAGAAGTATAGTTCCTACGGACACTTACGCTAACATTTAAATCCTCCAGGACCTTTCTTCTTTTTAACTGTAAAAAGGTAAGTTATTTTTAATCAAATAATTCAAACAATTTACAATTCTCCAATTAATTTTTTTTTATTATTATTATTATTATTATTATTATTATTATTATTATTATTATTAAAACACACTATAATAGTCAATAAGATTTAAGTTTTACGAAAAAGCCGGTCGCATCATCCGCCATTACGCCAGGGCGTTGCTTACCCATGTGCTTGGTTTTTATTTTATTAAATAAAATAAATTAAAAGTACTATCAAATTTTTGGGAATTTTTAATTAATAAATTTTAATAGAATGACAAAGTTAGCCATTAAAAAATTTTTAGAATCATTTAAAAAAATTTTTTTAGTTCTAATTTTATAAATTGAACAAAATGAAAAAATAAAAAATGTTGGCTAACTTTATTATTATAAAAAAATTCGTGAAAATCGACAGGTTGCCGGTGTGTCGGGTACAGTGGTGATTCCTTCAAGTGGTTGACGTGTCTATAATTAAACTGGTAGAGTACAGTTTGACCTCGAGGTGAATTTAACGCGTCCGGTAGACATAGACGGGTAAATTAATCTGACGTGTATGAAGAAGAATGCTTGAGGATAGATAACAGATAGTATCAAAGGCTTAGATTATTTTTAATTTTAGATGGGTCATGGTACAATAATTATCAGTAGATTTTTATTATCATATATGTATGTAGGTACACAAATATATAGATGAATTGTGGTTAATGAATCAGGCAAGTTTATTATTGAAGAGATAGTGGGGAAGAATACATCATTAGGAGTTATAGAATGATGTTGAATAGTATTATATGCTGGATGTAATGCCGCAGAGTCAGCGTCGCGTTGGACAGGGTGAGGGGCGGGGGGGGGGGCTGGTAGGAAATAAAACGAGTCCCTGGTGGCAGTAAGTTGCCTTATATGGTAAAGAACGACTGGATTGGTTGAGGGTGTCCCTCCCTTAGTGCCGGATATACCGCTGGTGGGAGTTTGCACTATCGAGGTTCATATAATACAGTCTTCGTCGATCATTCCAGCTACATTCTGTGCGAGGTGGTAGATACCTACAGAACCGTGTAACTCGTGATTATAGTGACAGACTCACTTTTAAGTGTACATATATTTTTTTTAAGTAATTTAATGTAAGTTTATTTTTTTATTATTCTCGTTTTATAGGAAATTTTTTAGATTTCTTTTTAGTGAGTGAATGGAGTGGTGTGTTTTGTGTAGCGTGGGTCTGCCGGGTTACCGGCGCCGGCTTGGAAACTTGAAAAGATATATTATTTTATTTTTCTGTAGAATAAACAAGCGTTGTAATTAATATTTATGATGGTTAGGGTTTTGGGTTTAATAGTTTTATTCCGGTGATTCTTTTGTGATGTTAAATATCCCGAGGTAGACGAGTCGGGGTTGGGTGGGGCTGGGTGCGGTCTGCCGGTGTGGTAAAGCAGAGCTTGTAGAGGCGTGATTATATATTCTGTCTGACGTGGCAATCTGTTTTCTTATTTATTTTAATTTTAAAAGCGTTTTTTTTTTTTTTTTTTATTTATTTATTTATTTTATTTATTTTTAATATTTATAGTCATTGAAAAAATAAATAAAAATTAATTTAGCAGATATTTAATAATTTTTAGAAAAAATTAAAAATGCAATTTTTTAAAAAGCTAACTTTAAAGTCATTAAAATAACAATTAAAATTAATAATTTATTAAAAATTTTCAGATAAAATAATAAGACGAAAATGTGTGACGAAGAAGTAGCCGCTTTGGTCGTTGACAATGGATCCGGTATGTGTAAAGCCGGATTCGCCGGTGATGACGCACCCCGTGCTGTATTCCCCTCAATCGTGGGAAGGCCAAGACATCAGGGTGTAATGGTTGGTATGGGGCAAAAAGACTCATACGTTGGAGACGAAGCACAATCAAAGAGAGGTATCCTGACTCTTAAATACCCAATTGAGCACGGTATCGTCACCAACTGGGATGACATGGAGAAAATTTGGCACCACACTTTCTACAACGAGCTCCGAGTTGCGCCTGAAGAGCACCCCGTTCTCCTTACCGAGGCTCCATTGAACCCAAAAGCCAACCGTGAGAAGATGACGCAGATCATGTTCGAAACTTTCAACACACCTGCTATGTACGTCGCTATCCAGGCTGTGCTTTCTCTCTACGCTTCTGGTCGTACCACTGGAATCGTTCTCGATTCCGGAGACGGTGTCTCGCACACAGTGCCCATCTACGAGGGTTACGCTCTACCTCACGCTATCCTCCGTCTCGACTTGGCTGGACGTGATCTCACCGATTACCTTATGAAGATCCTCACCGAGAGAGGATACTCTTTCACCACCACCGCCGAGCGTGAAATCGTTCGTGACATTAAAGAAAAACTTTGCTATGTTGCTCTGGACTTTGAACAAGAAATGGCCACTGCTGCTTCATCATCCAGCTTGGAGAAGAGCTACGAACTTCCTGACGGACAGGTAAATTTAATTTTCCAAAATTTTTTATTAAAAAATTAACAACAAATATTTAATTAAAAATTTTTATATTAAAAAATTGACAATAAATATTTAATTAAAAATTAAATGTATTTTTAGGTCATCACCATCGGAAACGAGCGATTCCGTTGCCCAGAGGCTCTCTTCCAGCCCAGCTTCTTAGGAATGGAAGCTTGTGGTATCCACGAAACCACCTACAACTCGATCATGAAGTGCGACGTCGACATCCGTAAGGACTTGTACGCCAACACTGTCCTCTCTGGAGGTACCACCATGTACCCAGGAATCGCCGATAGAATGCAAAAAGAAATCACTGCCCTGGCTCCATCCACCATGAAGATCAAGATAATTGCTCCCCCAGAAAGAAAATACTCCGTATGGATCGGTGGTTCCATTCTTGCTTCTCTGTCGACCTTCCAACAGATGTGGATCTCTAAACAAGAGTACGACGAGTCTGGACCATCCATCGTCCACAGAAAGTGCTTCTAAGCGTATTAATCAACATGCACTTACTACATTTACCAACATAATTTTAATATTACTACATACTGTCATCATTAATCATCATTTGTCCGAATTCCCACATCAAGACACGGTTGATCGTTAAATTCAGGAGGAGAGAAAAAGATTAAGAAAAAGAGAGTTTGCTATTCTCTAATTTATTATTTCCCGATATCTTTACACCTCACTAAATAATTTTATTTTTTCATACAATTTATTATTTATAATTAATAATTATTATTATTATTATTATATACATTTTCACGTATTTCTACTACCTCCTGCCCTCACCTCCGTGATTATTATTTATTTATTTATTTATTTAATAATAATCACTGAGGTGATGATTTATTTTTGACTTTATGATGAAAAAATAATTAAATAAACAAACAACATTCCACAAGACTTACCTCGTTTTTTCGAGTGTGCTTCATTTCTAGCGACGACAGGGCCTCATAATTTTTAATCTATTAATCTATTGCTAATTAATGTTTATTTCATGCATATATATAATAAATAATTATATATAAATATATTAGTATTATAATTAAGATGCACTGATAGGTAAAAATAAATAAACAAAAAAAAAGAAAAAAACAAACTTTAATTAATCTAATTATCAAGTTTTTTGTACGGGGTTTGGGCAGTGAAATTTCCAAAAATAAAATAACAGCTCAAACTATTGATAATACAACCTGAGGTGAAGTATATGGGAAGTAATTTAATAGAGAGCGAATGAAAGGCAGTGATAAGAAAAGAAAATAAGTGAAAGCATTAAAGACGCCCTAAATGCGTAGCCAAAGTATTATAATTTATTCCCATTATATTGTGCAAGTTTACTCACGTACACAATTAAAGATTACATTAGGCTTATGGGATAGTAAAATAAACTCTTTGGATTAATAACAAAAACAAATAAAATTAATCGACTGGAACGATATGTCTTAAGATAGAAATGCATTCCTAAATTTTTTTTTTTTTTATTTTTTATTTTTTTATTTAAAAGCTTCCTCTCGTGAATTTTTATTTCGCTGATGAGAGATATTTTTAACTTCCCCTCCAGAAATGAAATGTACTGATTAGAAGTTATTCATATATAGTCACTAAAAGATAATGAAGAAAAAAAAAAACAAAAGTAACAATTTTAATACAATTTTTCGCGTTTTCCGGAGTTACGATGTAGATTTTTTACTACCATTAAATGTCAATGAAATATCGTATCCTAAGATTTGTCTTGTATACCTTTAACAATTATTATTATTATTATTATTATTATTATTATTATTATTATTATTGTAAGAATTAGGTTTATATTTTCAATTCAATAAAATTATTTTCAATGAATGATCATAAATGTGACATTATATTTTTTATTTTTAATTATTATTTATAATATTTTTATTTAAAATATAATTTTTCATCATTAAATAAAACAAATCAATTTGCAGTATATCTTATGTGTCATTTTTACTCTATTTATACATCCTTTATTAAATTTAGTTTTAAAATAATTTTTTTATTAAAAATTAAATGATAAAATTTTTGATAAATAATACTCCAAATTTTTGACAGTTATCTCAGAATTTTAATTATATAAAAATACGCTATCTGTCAGATTAACTTGAACTAATTTTTTTCATAATTTCGGTCAAGGAATTCTATAATTTAATTATAATTATTTGTTTGGAAAATCTGGACAAAGAGGAGTAAATTTTATTAGAACATATCTAAGTATGACACAGCATATGTGTGCGCTGGAACGAAACTGTATCAACAATAAGTCGAGTCCAAGTGACACTTACAACAATAACAATAACAATGCGATAACATGAATGTTTCGTGAGTAATTGGTGTGTAGTGAACTGAATAATACTCGATGTCATTAATTTTAAATAAAATAATAACGTGGCACTCGAGATGCCTCAACAAAATCCATCTGATCAATATTCCACCGGGGTAATTATTATTTATTTTTTTATTGTCAATACTTAACCTAAAATTGCAATGACAAAAAAATTCGCAGACACTTGTCATTTTTTTTTTATTTTTTTTCTTACAAACAAAGTTATAGATATTTTAAAAAAATTGCAATTTATAATTTTTTTTTCGCTTATAAATTTTTTTTTTGCTATAATTAATTTATTTAAGAAATTATCAAATATCTTTCAATTGTATTTTAAATGTAAAATTATTTAAAAAATTTAATTTTAAGGTCGGGTTGATTTATATTTTTAATTTAATCGTCGGAACTGGAGCTTTAACATTGCCAGGAGTTTTCAGTCGAGCAGGATGGCTCCTTGGAACTGTAATAATTGCGGCTCTTGGTTTTATCAGGTAAATAAAAAAATTTATTTTAAATTTCAATAATTATAATTAACATTTTTATTTAGTTTTATTACTGTGACATTTGTGATAGAGTCTATGGCCACAGCAAATGCAATAAAGAGTTGGCAGCAACTTAAAACAAGAAAAAAAGTATGTATTCAAAAATATTATAATTTCATTATATTAAAAATAAATTTACAATTCTTTTAAAGGCTCTCGAAAGAATTGAAGACAACTCCGAGTCTGAAGAAACACCGCTCGTGGAGCCTTCGGGTAGCAACGAAGATGAAGAGCTGTCATCCAAGTTCTACTCGATAAACCAAAAAATAGAAATGGGCGAAATGGCGACGTTGTTTTTTAATAAAACAGGAATTTCGTTGTTTTATATTTGTCTAGCAGTCTATTTGTACGGAGATCTAAGTATTTACGCAGCTGCGATAGGAAAGTCATTGGCAGATGTTGCCTGCAATTATATACCGTCAAACTTGACGTGTAATGATACGATACCCGATAATGTTTCTTGTTGGAAAGGTTCTTCTGTCACGAGATTTGATGCTTATCAAATATTTTTGGTAATAAAAAAATTTTATCAAAATTTAATATGAAAATTAACTATGTTAATTTTTTTTTATTTATTTTTTTGGCCATAATTTATTTGTTAACAAGAATTCTAAAAATTATTGAATATCTGCTAAATTAATTTTCATTTATTATTTTCAGACAACTTTTATTTTAATGCTTGGTCCATTTGTATTTTTCAATGTTCAAAAAACAAAATACCTTCAAGTATTAACTTCAGTAATGCGTTGGTTAGCATTTTCAATAATGATTATTTACGCATTGAGAATTCTAATTGTCAATGGTCCCCAAGGATCTCCTCCAGTTGCCAATTTCAATGGTAAGTTTATTTTTAATTAAATAAAATAAATAAATGAATTAAAAAAAATTTTTTTCAATAGTTTTGATTGTATTTTAGGAATCCCGGGACTTTTTGGTGCTTGCGTTTATTCCTTCATGTGCCATCATTCATTACCAGCACTAGTAGCACCAATTAAAAATAAATCCACCTTAAATCGTTTCTTATTATTGGATTATACATTAATAGCGGGATTTTATTTATTACTAGCCATTACGGGTGCTTTCTCTTTTGCTCATCTTGATGATTTGTATACCCTGGATTTCGGGCCTCGTGGCTCCGGCGACTGCTCCAAAAACACAAATATCTTTTTAATAATCATCGAATACTTTCTTGCGTTATTTCCGGTATTTACCTTGTCGACCAGTTTCCCGATAATTGCAATAACATTGAGGAATAATTTATCATCATTGTGTCTGAATAATACCCAAAGTTACAATTTTTGTCTTCGAAAACTTGTGTTCCCATTTTTGGCAATAATTCCACCGTATATCATTGCGATGTCAACTAAAAATTTATCTTTTCTCGTCGGAATAACTGGATCATACGCTGGGGCGGGTATTCAATACATAATACCTATATTTTTAGTTTATCAGGCTCGGGAAAGAAGAAATATTATCGGAAGTAATGTTAATAATAAATTCAGTAGTCCATTTGTTAGCAGAAATTGGTTGTTGATAATTTTTATATGGTCTGTTGTTTGTATGGTTTTCGTAACTATTAATTTTATTGAACGTCATTTTTGATATTTTTAACCTTGCAGTTACTATGTGACTGCCGTGACTTGTGAACTATAAATCAATTGAATTTTGATTTATGAAATAATGATTTTATTAAATTGCACTGTATTTTTTTAACCATTGACATTTTTAAATATATAAGCTCATCCTGATGTTACACTCATTAAGAGCTTTCATTTGAGTACCCACATGCACTTTTGATATATTTTTCACTTATATATATATATATATAAATATATGAAAAATTGATGTGGGTATTTAAATGAAAGGTCTTGATGAGTGTAATAATGTTGGAGTGAGCTTATATCTTTAAAAATGTCAATGGTTCACAAGATACAAGGTGATTTCTTAATTATGTAGATTATTTAATCGCAAACATAACGTACAATTGAGTCAATATATATTATCGTTAATAAATAAAATAATTAAATAATAATAATAAATAAAATCCATAAATTTCTTTTGATAAATGTATTTCAGAATTAAATATTTATAAATAAAAAATTTGATTTAACATTTTTTTAATATTTAATACTTTTTAATAATTCATCTTTTAAATATCATTTTTTCTTTTATAGTATATCAATATCCAAAAATTATTTTTAATGATAATGATTGTAATTTAATAATAATAATAATAATAATATTATTATTATTATTTTTTGAATAATTATAAAATAAATGATCGGTGCGTTTGTGTGATACCTGTAATATGGATACGGATATGTGTCAGTTCAAATGGCCGATAAGTATAATGATAATAATAATAATAATAATAATAATAAAGAAATTTAATATTTATTATTCTGATAATTTTCGATATAAGGACACCCAGATTCCGAATGTTCAACGCACTCAATAACCGGATCGTGACTCGAGTCCCACATACCCGGGCCGCATTGACGGCAGAGACCAGCCAAGGTGCATGGTAACCGATCCAGTTGTCGAAACTGATAAAGTAATCCCCTGGCTTTGCGTAGTATCACGTTCCCGTCCATGTACATTGCCAGGGAGCTAAAGTGGAGCAGCATTTCGTCAGTACGTAAATCTTGGGCTATTACGTCGTCGGCGTAGATACAGATTATCGCCAGGCAGAGGAATAGGTGAAAGTAATCTGTTAGATAATTAACCCAGCATGCTTCCCACATTATTAGAGCCATCTCCGTTGGAAATTCTCTTTTTAGGCACCTGGAATTTTTTTTATCTTAATTAAAAAATTTATTTTTAAATTTAGATTAAGATAATTTGAAATTAATTTATATTTAATTATTTTTTAAAGTAATTAAGATAAATAAATACTTAAAAAAAAAAATTATTTAAATAAAAATCAATCTAAATTTTTAATATTTTTAGTAATTAGTAAAATTATCAAAAAACAAAATTAATTTTAATTTTTTTAAATATCTTTAGAAAAAATAAAGATTAAATTGAACTATTATTATTAATTAATAAAAATTAAACTAAAAAAAAAAACAAACTTACAATAAAATCCAACGATGACAAAAAAGAAGTTCAAGAGCATCAGTATGTTTTTCCAAGTGCGCGTAAAAATCAGGCACAATAATCCTAATCAATTCGCGAAGATAACACAAATTTTTATCCATATCAGTATCAGTAGGCGTACAAACAGCGACAGACCGCTGCATAAGACCAGCAAAGCACCAAAAAGCGTCAATTTCAGAATTCAATTCAGCAAGCAATGGTGCCAACAAATCCGACATCCCTTGAGTGTATCCAAGTTGAGCATTATAGACAGCATAGTTGAGTAAAATATTTTTCATAACTTGTATATTAGGATTATTTTCACCCGCGTAATAGGGATTCGCGCGGTCAGTACGAACAACATCTTTCTCGACAATGCAAACGACGTTTCTCCAAAACAGTTCGGCCTGCTCAGGGTTCATGGAGCTCCGAATTTTCTCTATTTCTGCATATTCCTGCCTGCGGATCTCGTCGATCTGCTCGCGATCTTCGAAAGTACTTTGGTAAGAGTAACAGTGAAGTAAAAAAGGCCATACTATTTTTCTGAGCGCCGGTTCCAGTCCACCGAAGAATATTCCTTTGCGCAAACTCAAATCGTCTTCGACTTGACCCCGTTCATTCAACAAGTCCTTCCAGGTTAATGAAGTTATCATTGGTACTTGTCCTTCTTCTGGGTGCAATTCATCCCGGGCTATCTCTGGTCGACATACCATAAAATGTCTAGAAAAAAACATTATTTTTATTATTAATTAATAAAATATTGACGTTTTTAAAGATATAAGCTCATTCTAATGTTACACTTATCGAGACCATTCATATAAATATATAAAATATATGAAAAATTGATGTGGGTACTCAAATGAAAGGTCTCGACGAGTATAATGTCAGGATGAGCTTATTTATATCTTTAAAAATGTCAATAGTTCCCGAGATACAAGGTCATTTCTTAAAAAAATAGAAAAAATTTTTACCTATAAGGCAATCCCTCGCAATCATTAGTCTGATCAGGCTTAGAGTAAACAAGCTGATGCCAATGGTGAAGAATATTCGCAAGTCTGTCCAATCCCCCATGATGAAAATGAAGAATCTTATACTGACTCTCCCTGCTAGCAACAACCAACTGTCCACTAGTGCAGGCAGGATCAGCAAAGAAGAGCCTCAAGCTCCTCATCTGGCTCAAGTCCACAGAAAATCTCCTGCACTGTAGCGCTCTCCTCATGGCAATCGGGGACGCGGTGGTGCTTTCCGGAAAGGTCAAATTGTGCTGTAGCGCCAGGAGCTCGGGTGTGCGCATCCAGTTAGGAACATCTTGATTGTCCAGCGAGTTGGAGAGACTGCAGCAGGAATTAAGGGAAATACTGCTGATGCTCTTGGGCTCAATTCCGTTGATTCCATCAATCAGAGACTCGTGATCGACCGAGCGGGACCTTAAATTACTTAAATTAATACTACGAGGCTCCTCAGTGAGCGCCTTACTTTCTTTAGTCGGTTTTTCTCCATCTGCAGAGTCTTCCTTGGAGAACTGAGTCGTATTCGTCCCTCCGGAGCAGATCCGCTCGCAGTCCTTGCAGTCCAGCGGTTCCTTAACTTCCAGACACACGTCTATTTTATCAGAGTTAGTTGAATCTTCAGTTAGTTGAATCTTTCCCTGGATTTTTTTAGCAGTGATGTTCTCCAGAGTTGTCGGGTGCTTGCAGAGGGTGCTGTTGGGGATCCAGCTCAGCTGGAGGCTCGGCAAATTGGTGTTTTTGTCCAGCTTACACACGACAGTCATGTAGCCCGGGTGATGAATCACTTCGCAGTGCTGGCGCATCAAGCTTGGTGGGTGGACACAAACGTTGTTCTTGCAGAACAATGCTTCTCCGTCTTGATAAATCATCCCCGGGTTGCTTGAGCTACTGTCGCCCAAAATGTAACTACTTGCTTTTTTTAACAAACTTGGCAGCGACATTTTTTATTATTATTATTATTATTATTATTATTATTATTATTATTATTATTATTTATAAATAATTTATTTTAAACTATTTTCCTTCGTTCCATATTTGGCTTTGGACAATCCTTGGTTAATTTTTTTATTTAATCGTACTGGCCGTTGCAATCTGGAAAAAAAAAAAATTAAAATAAAATTTGAATATCAAGCTAATTCCACATACAGTGATAAGATATCGCATTAAAGTTAGCAGTCACAATCATTCTTTAATTTTTTTTAACAAATAAATTTTTTCCAAAAAATTATTTTTAAAAAATTGCATTTTTAATTTTTTTTCAATTTCTGCTTGTTAATTTTTTTTTTTTGCAATAATTTATTTGTTAAAAAAATTATAAAATATCTGCTAAATGAATTTTCATAGATAAGATATGCGAATTAAAAAAATTACTCACCATTGTTGCTGTAATTAAAGCGGTATACTTTCAATATGACAGTCATGTTTGTTTGTGCTTACAGTTATTATGACAATAAATAATAATAAATATTTACAATATTTTTGTATTTAAGTACATACTTTGTTTACTTTTAGATATTTCAGTGTCACTATCACAGCTTGATTTCGTAAATTGGTAATTTTTTTAATTAAAACGCGTATACTATCAATGGGGACATACGCTTCTGTCTAATATTGTTTATAAAAGTACTACACAACATATGTAATGCAAATTTATATTGATAAGACGCAGGCTTAGATAGTAGAATAAATTTATGACGTATACCATGTATATTCTACGTACAAAACAGTCCACGCGAACTAGCTTACACTTGAGGATCAATAATCCCACCTGATTTTTCTTCTGGCGGTCATCTTGAATTATTTTTGTCAATTTTGTCAACTACTCTATATTATTTATAAATTATTTTTTTATTGTCTCTTTTTTTTTAATATTTTCTCGACTTGGTTCATTTTTTTTTAAACAATTTTTTCAGTTTATCCCAAAAATACAAACTTTCTTTCTATTATTGATTACTTTTTTTACGACTTTTATGGATTACATTTTGTTCTAAGCGACACTAAAAGTTTAGAACTAATTTTTTAAAAGATATTTACATTAATTAATTTTTTAATTTTCAGTATTTTAATTAAAATTTATAATACTGAATTATTTAAGTAAAAATAATTAAATTTTTATAAATTAATGAAAAAATAATAATAATAAAATTAACAATTTTATTATTAAAAAAAAAAAAAAAAAAAGTAATTAAATAAAACGTTGCATCGTTTTAATTAATAAAACTAAAACAAATTTCCTTTTTATCAATTAACTGATAAAAAGAACTATAGCGTGTACAATATAAATACAAACATAAATTTCTTCGTAATATATTTTATCGACACAAGTAATTTAATGGGTTATCTACATCGTTAAATATTATTCGATTTAATAACTAAACTAAAATAATTAAATTGACACAACTTATCAGTTTCCTTATTTGTAAGACCTATTTACAACCTGATAATTAACCCAATAAACTACAACTTAAGTCCTTCCTCGTGAGTAAAAAGTATTTTATGATCATTATCCTCAATGAAGCTCGCATTGGGACCTCGGATAAGATAGCTTAAATTAGCGTAGGCATTAAAAACAAAGTCTTCTTTGAGATAGCCATTGATAAGGAGAAACCCAATGATAGCTTCAGCAGTTTCCCTTGAAAACTTCGGAGTAGGAACCGTAGAAACTCTCAGATTAGCAGCTCCCTTGTTATACCAAGCATCTACTAGCTTTAAAAGAGTCAGGTTGTTCTCAGCAAGCCTAGCTTTGTCTATAATCTGATAAATCTCCTTGCAATACTTAGCAATGTCGGTAGTTTCAGTCTTTTTGTTCTTTAAGCAGTGATCACACATCTCCTTGCAGTCTTTCTTGCTCCAGGTTTCATTGAAATGCGTGGCAATGATGCTCCTGCGGCACGTACTGGCGTCTAGACAGTACTCGAGAGTCTTGTAGAGATTCTGGAGCCCGACCTTGTCGCCAATGACCATCGTGCTGAGCTTGAAGACATCAGCGAGTCTGTAGAGGACAATGCAAGTAGCTTTTTTACCGTCGCGGCCAGCGCGACCGCTTTCTTGGTAGTAGTTCTCCATAGACTTGGACATGCAATGGTGAATCACGAACCTCACGTCAGGTTTATCAATTCCCAGGCCGAAGGCGATCGTAGCAATGACTGCCTGGTACTCGCCAGTGATCCACCGGTGATAGATCTTTGAACGGACTTCAGGTTCCAGCATCGCGTGGTAGCAGCCCAATTTTAAACCTTGGTCGCGCAAGCTCTTGGTCAGAGTCTCAGCGTCTTTTATCGTCGTAGTGTAAATAATCCCAGATTTTCCTGCAAACCTGGTCTTCAGTAAATTAGACAGCATTGATAAGCAATTCTCCTTGTCGTTGGGCTTCCTCCGAACTTCGTAGGTCAAGTTTGGACGATTGAACGGCGCGCGGAGGATCAAACAGCTCTGGATGTCCAGCATTTTTTGAACGTCGTCAAGAATCTTGGTAGTTGCTGTTGCAGTGAGCCCTAAGATAGGAACTCCGGGGAACATGGCCTTCAGACATCCTAAAAATTGATAATCCGGTCGGAAATCGTGGCCCCAGGTACTGCAACAGTGGACTTCGTCAATTGCAAATAACTTAACGCGCTTTTGATTAAAGGCTTTCTGTAATTTAGACATGAATCTTTTGGACTTCTTCATGAACTCAGGAGTAATGTAAATTAAATTTACGGAGTCGTCCTTCCCGTCCAGAGCATCCCAGGCTAGCTTTACTTGCTCGGTTTTAGACGACGTGAGCATTCCGGCTTTGATGTTCAGTTTTTGGAGTCCGTGGATCTGGTCTTCGATCAACGCTATCAATGGGGAAACTACCAGTGTAAGCCCTTTGGTTGCTATCGCTGGTAACTGGTAGCACAAGCTTTTACCTCCGCCGGTCGGCATCACTAAAATAGTGTCTTCTCCAGACAGGATCGCGTTTATCACCGCCAGCTGGTGATCTCGGAAGCTCTCTTTTTTTAACACGTCCGTCAGCACGGTCTGAAGCTTTTTGGACCAAGGGAAGTTGGTGTTATTCCAATCGCGTTTTGATAACTCAAGACTCTTCTGACGGACTACGTCGTTTTGGATTTTTTCTTTACGTTCTATCAAAGCTTCCTTGCGTTCTTTCAGCTTCCGTATTTCGGCGTCTATTTGCCGGATTTCCCGGTCTATTTTTTTTACTTGTTCGTTTTCCATTTCTGTAATTTATTTATTAATATTTTAACTCAGTAATGTTTACAAATTGAAGTTAGCTAGCAGCTGTCAATTTTTTTTTCATTTTTATAACAAATAAATTATACTATAGTTAGCCGACGTTTTTAATTTTTGGATTTTTTTTTTTTTTTCAATTAAATTAAAACAAAAACAAACATTTTTTAAAAATGGCACTTACAGTTTTTAAAGTTTTTTACAATTGAAATTTTTTTTTAATAATTTTTTCAATAAAAAAAAAAAAATTCTAAAAATTTTTAGATGTTGGCTAACTTAATTTTCATTAAAAAAAAAAGTACTTGAAATAATTTTCAATTATCTTTTTTATAATAATTTAATTTATAAAAAAAATGTACAATGCCTGTCAATGTTTACAATTGAACACGTGCTTCTCTTTCAAATTTTTAATATCTAAAGAAATACTTTTAATAATTTTTTAAAAACTAATATTTATTATTACAATAATTTTTTTATTACCTGTTGTTTTTAGTTTCTATAAATTGTCTAAAATAATTAATAATAAAAAAAGAGGTTAGACTTATTTCGGCTAATCAACTAAAAAGTTTTTAAATATGACAGGTCATCTATATTACCGGCATTTAAATTTAATTTATACTTTTTTCAATTAAAAAATTTTTATAATCAAAAAAAGTCTAATTATCACGTTCAAAAATTGTTTTATCAATCATCATTTGAACTCGTGGGCACCACAATAATAAATATATAAAAACAAGTGACGTCTGAAAGTCTGAAATGTTCGCGGCATGACACAGTGCTGCCATAACCTTTTTTTGATATAATAAATATTTTTTGCATTTTTTCATTTCAAAGACATTTTTAATTGTGCTATGACAATATTCAATTTCGCAAAAAACAGGTTGTTTATTACAAAGGTAAGGTCTTAAATATATAACACACATATTTATTGCATGTCATAATTCTATAAATAATAAAAAATAAAATTCTATCTTTATCATTAATGATTGTTTATTAAAAAATCTAATATCAGATTATTAAATTTTCTGTCAGAATCTTATCTGTCAGTTCAGCAACAAAATAATGAGCGAAATGCACAGTGTTTCGACATTAATCCAAGGCCAAAATGTCTCTATTAAAATTCTCCCGGCACTTGATGATAATTTTATGTACTTGGTAATGTATTATTTATATTTATTCTCAGTATTTTTTTTAGTTTATAAGAAGTATGTTTTTACTGGCATGAATAATGCAACTGCAGTTTAAATTTTAATTCACAAATTTTTATTTTATACTTATGCCATAATTATATTTCAATATTTATTATTATTAAAATTATTTACAATAAGTATTTACATAGTTTATAATTTAATAGTTAAAATGAAACTTATGAATTATCAAAACACACCGACGTTCAGCAGTTGCGATGGTGGTGTAATGGTCAGCATAGTTGCCTTCCAAGCAGTTGATCCGGGTTCGATTCCCGGCCATCGCACATTCTTTTTGCTTTTTTTTCAAATTATTCTTTATTTTTACAACAAATAAATTACAGTAACATAAAAAACAAAACCTTTAATTTTTTTTAATTTTAACAAATTAGAAATTTTTTAATAAAATTATTTTCATGATAATTATGACACTTAATTTTTTATTTTTTTTTTAGTTTATAATAAACTAGATCTATGAAATTTTTAATAATTTTTTTTTTTTAATATAATTTATATGTTAAAAAAATTCTAAAAATTATCAGATTTATTTTTCAATTTCAATATTAATAATTTAATTGCTACAAATAATTTTTTCCAGATAATTGATGAGAAAACCAAGGAAGCAGCAGTTGTAGATCCAGTAAATCCATCAGTAGTAAGCTCTGCAGTTGAAGAGCACAAAGTAAACCTCAATAAAATTCTAACAACTCATCATCACTGGGACCATGCAGGCGGAAATGAAGAAATGTGTAAGAAATTTCCAGGTATCAAAGTCTTCGGCGGTGATGACCGAGTCAACGCATTAACAAACAAAGTGTCTCACGATGACCTCATCGACGTTGGAAATTTAAAAATAAAATGCCTCTCGACACCCTGTCATACTTCAGGTCACATTTGTTACTATATAGCGGGAAGTGGCGGCGATTCCCCGGCTGTTTTTACAGGAGATACATTATTTATTGGCGGATGTGGAAGATTCTTTGAAGGGACTCCTCAGCAAATGTACACGGCGCTTATTGAAATTCTCGGCGCTCTACCTGAAGATACGGTAAATAAATTAAGATTTTTTTATTCTAAATTAAGTCTTAAGGTTTTACGTATTGTGATATTGATTTACTTTCTAATAATGTTTGTGTTAAATTGCTATTTTTAGAAAGTTTATTGCGGGCATGAGTACACTTGTAAAAACCTCTTGTTTGGTCTGAAAGTAGAACCCAACAATGAAGACATAAAGAAACATTTTGAGTGGGCTAACAATCAGCGTAAAAAACAAAATCCCACGGTACCGAGTACTATTGGCGATGAGAAGAAATTCAATCCTTTTATGCGTGTTCATAAACAGTCAGTGATTGATCATACTGGTACCAATGATCACATCTCAACAATGGCGAAATTACGCAAAGAAAAAGATGCTTTTTAAACGATAATTCTTGAAATAAAATTCAAGATTTTTTTATTAAATAAAAATAAAAATTAATAATTAATAAATGAAGGATTATTTTTCTTTTAAAATTGTAACAGCTAAAAATAATAAAAATTACTTTTATTAGCTTTTTTTTTTTCTTAAAGAAAAATATTTTGATTTATCTAAAATTATTATTTAATATTAATTTTAAGTGTTATAAATTTACAGGAATTTGACTAGGAACTTCTTCACTCTTCTTGTTATACTTTTGCATTTCTACGACATACTTTTCTTTTGAGCGTTCGTACATGTCGTAATAAACCTGTAAAAAAAAATTATTAATTTACTCAAATTATACAAACATTTTTTTAGCAATTAAAAATTTTCAACAAGCAAAGTTACAGCCAATATTTAAACACCGTTGATAATCATCAACTGATTAAATAAAAATAAATTATCTTTAAGTATCAATTGTGAATGTTAATTTTTATAAATTCATTAAAAACCTTTTTATCTTCTGAAGTGAGTGACTTCCATGTGGTGGCTAATTGTCGTGTCAACTCTTGTTTACTGGGCTCCGGTTCTCCGGCGAGCCTCTCCATGACACGTGGCCTCTGTTCCTGGCAGAATTGAAAGAAAGGATTCGCCGGGCGCTTTGGAGCATTCGGATCGGCTTTAATTCCTTTTCGCTTGGTGCCTTTTTTTATTTTTTCTTCTTTGATCACCGGGACTTTGCATTTATTTAATTTCTCCGGTTTAACTGTCACTGAAAAAATATTGTTTTCTTCCAAAACTCCCATTGGAGCGTCGCGCCACTGATCACCATGCTTATCTAATCGGTCTATTAAAAATCTATAAATAAAAATTAATTACATACCTCAAATTTTATTTTTTAGTGCTTTTTATTAAATTTAAACTTACTTTTTTTCTTTGCGGGTCCGTTTTAAAAGTTTCCGGATTTTTTGGAATCGATAAACCAATCTTTCATTGTCCTAAAAAAATATAATATTTATTTATTATAAAATAAAATAATAATAATAATAATAATATAATTATTTAAAATAATTTTTTCAATAAAAATAATTTTTAGATGTCAGCTGATTTAATTTTTATAAATTATTAGTTAATAAAATATGAATGTCAAAAAATAAATTTTGTAAACATTACTTGTTGTAAAACTTCACATCTCTCCAGTAAAATTTGATATTTTCTTTTATAAATATTGCACTCAACTGGCTCCGTGTAATAATCCGATTCGTCAGACATTTTAAACTTATTTTTAAATGTTTTTTTAATAAATAAAATAAAAATTACAATATAACCCTCTAACTTTTATTGTGTTTAGTTTAAATCAGCTGATCACTAGTTCAGGTTTAAGCCACGGGGCATGGTGGCGCATTGCTATTCGGAATAAATTTATATAATTAAGCACAATTATTATCAATTGCATTCAACAATTCAAATCTATTGTACATATACATTGTTCCTATGATTTTTAATTTGTTTATTTAAAAATAATCGACGCGCTAAAAATTTCTATTCATTTAAATTTAAATTTCTAAAAAAATTTCAAGTTTTTTTTTTTAAGGTTTTATGCTGGCTAAAAAGGTCAGTTTCTTTTTATTTTATTTTATAATTTATAACATAAGCTTTAAAATAATTTTAATTGTTTAAATTCACTCTTTTTTCAATTAAAATTTTTTTAAAAGTGATAAAATTATTTTTTAAGTTTATTGATTTATTTTTGTCTTTCAGAATTTTGGAACCACATGTTAAAAAAAATTAAAAGTGGATTGTCAAAAAAAGATCTATATTTTAAACGGTATTTATTTTTTTTAATTATTTAAATTAATTAAAAATCAATTATTATAATTTTAATAATTACAATAGCTGTCATTATTTTTTTTTAATGTAACAATTTATTACATTTATTATATTTTATAGAATTATTATTTATTAAAAGAAATTATTTTTTTAATTAAAATAAAATATTTCTAAATCACAGAGATTATTTTAATTATTAGATTAAAATTTTTTTTTTCAATTTTCAGGAGCAAAGATCAAAAGACGGATGAAGTAAAAAAAATAGTTTGCTAACAAGATTGATTAGTTGACGAATGGTAAATATTATATTATAACATTGCGAAACTATTATTATTATCATCATCATCCCTTGTTATTGTTATTATCTGAGCAAACGCATGCGTGTGAGGAAAAATCATCCCCGATTCACTAATTTTACCATTTTATCAAAACAGTTATTCCATTCATTGTGCTCACTTGAAAATAATTATACGTGTCATTTTATCAGGCTATTTCTAATTCTTTAATAAACTTATAAGTCTTTCTTCCTTAATTTAAAATAAACGACCAATTTAAACGTGATAAAAAATTTGTTCTGTTTAAATATTGTGAAAATTATAATTTTATCATTTTTTTTAGCATACATATTAATGTAGAAAAACAATCTCCGAAAAAGTGTATAGACGCTGCAGCTATTCCGTGATATATATAACTATCGGAGTAATTATCTGAGTCAATCAAATCCAGAATTAGAGATGCAGGATACTGCAGTTTTTTAGTATTTGCTAATAGGTCGTAACAGTGGGTGAGTTATTTAAATATTTATAATCTACTTTAATTTAATATTTTGTTTGCTGTTTAATTATAAAATTTATTTTTTTTTTTGCTAGTTTTTTTTTTTAATCTAATTATTTATTTGTCTAGAGGTATTTTTAGAGCATTTTATTTTGGCACTGATCGATATGTCCAGCCATTGTTGTGATATTATTTCAGCATCAGCATCATCAGCTGATGGCTTATTTAACGATCTTTTTTTTATTTTATTTTTAAAAGCTTATAATAGGCTTCTCTTATCGTCACGTAACCTTTAAACTTTTTTTTTTATTTTATTAAGATATCATCTGCAAAGAAGAAATATTTCTGATAGATTAAAGAAATTATTTATTTACTTGAATGATTAGTTGAGGTTTTGACTTTAAAGAAGAAAAAAAATTAGACGGATATATTTCTTCTATGATAATTTATGAAGAGATAATTCATTAAGAAGATTAATTAAAAACTCTAACTAAGTTTTCTATCTTACAATAGAGCTATAAATCTTATCTTGAACAATAAATATTAATATTTTTTGTTAAATAATATAATGTGCAAGTAATGTTATAAGAATGACATTTTTAAGACTGACAAAAGAATAATTTAATGGACCAGGAGAAGAATATTCTTCTTTGTAAAATTTATTTATACTTCAGTGATGATATCGAATTTTTAATTAAAGTTTATAGAGAAGCATAAAAATGCTAAATAAAAATCAGTATCAGTGAGTTACTTTAATGAAGGAGGATTAGATAGCAGGATAGTAATAGTAATAAGTTAAAAAGAGAGATGTAAGATGTAAGATGTAAAGAAATAAATGTAGTTGTCGGTTACGATGATGTGAGAGACGTACCATAAAGAAGGCAACACGTTATCACATCAGTACGAGTCGGTTAATCTTGTTGTGAGGATGTCGAGTTGTCTTTTACAAAGAGACTCTACGAGGTCATAAATTATAAAATTGCCTAGAAAATAATTTTAACTTTATAGTAATAATAAAAAACTAAAAAAGAAACACTTCTTTTAATTTCTTTTAATCTCAATATTAATAGCCGGTAGATTTTATTCGGGTCATTAATTTATGTCTATCTGAATTACTGAGTTACCTAGATTTACTTTTTGTAATTTAATTGGGTCTTATCACAGAGCCGCTTAATTAGCCAACTTTAATTAATCTCAGTATACTCCAATTATAATAGAGTCTTGAATTATAATTACGGTCAATTTTGTAGTTTAATAGTTAGTTGCTTCTTTAGTTTTGTAATTGTTCGTTGGTAATAATGTTGGTAAAATAAATAAAATAAAATCAAGTGCATGGTCATTATCACGATAAAGGATGTCGCTCAAAGTTAAAAAGTGTTTTACGTAACTTTTAAGTTATCTTAATTATTATTATTATTATTATTATTATTATTCTTTGTTATATTTCGATTGTTAGAAGAATATAAGAGTATCTCAGGATGACCTAATGAAGAAAGATCTTGCGGTTATAATTGTGTAGACAAAAGTAGAGTTCAAGTGTCGAATGATAACGTTTTTAAAAGAGCATTGTGTTATTTATAATAAGTTACACTCACGCACTGTTATAATTGATCGGTTTGATACTGAGAAGAATATAACGCTATGACATACCAATGTCTTTATTATACTTCAGGTAAAATTTGATTTTTTTTAATTATTGTAAAGAAGAAATGTCTTTAATATTTTTATTTTAAATATGTTGAGAGAAAAAATTTATTTAAAAAAAAATTAACTATATTTTAATAAGAAATATTAATAAATAATGACTTTTTTAAAGATATAAGCTCATCCTGATGTTACACTCATCAAGAGCTTTCATTTGAGTACCCACATGCATTTTTTATATATTCTTCATATATACATTTATATAATATATATATATATATATATTTTAAAAATATAAATATATTTATATTAAATATATAAAATATATGAAAAATTGATGTGGGTACTCAAATGAAAGCTCTTGATGTGTATAACATAAAGATGAGCTTATATCTTTAAAAATGTCAATTTTTAATAAAACAATTACAAGAAGAAAAAATTTTATTTCTTCAGTTAAAAAAAAATTAATTTCTTCTTAGCTTAATGACAAAAAAAAATATTTCTTATAAAAAGTACTGTATGAATAATATAGAGAATGTTAAAGGAATAAGAGAAGCAATGACGCGGATGGATGTTAGTTGTAGTATACTAGTTAAATTCTTCTTAAATGGACATCAACTCATACACAATGAGCGTTATTTACAATGGTAACTCGAGTTCTCTATGGTGTGGTTAATATAACAATCTTAGTTGGTACTATCTAGACATGTACCAAGTATTAATAGATAAACACATCAACTGACATTTGCTATCGTGTTTACATTTATCATCAATGTTCTGTAAAATCGAATTTTCTTATCTTCATCAGTATCAATACAATTCAACTTCAAGCCTATTATTAAAATATTAATAATAAACTATTGTTTCAGAATTTGTGAAAAGAGTCGAACGAATATCGTTTACCGGATGGGTGCCTGGACAGAAGATATCTCCGTCAAGGTGGTGAAGTTTTCTCAGGAATTAGAGTCGGTTAGTGACACGAGAACAAAAATTTCACCACGTAGAATAATAGATGACCGTAATCGACGGATCAGAATTCGCCAACAGATCGACTGTGATTGCAATGCTGATACGTCTACGGCGAATAAAAAGCGGACGACGACGGCGACGACGACGACGGCAATATCAACCACAATTAAACTTAGAAATATTACTTTAATTATAATTAAAATTGTCTTCCATCACGTGTTGATCACCACACTGTTAGTTTACAAATTAACTCATAAAAACACAACAAATTTTAATTTAAAACCCAAAATAATTAATTATTTGTGCGTGTAAACAAAAAAGTATCAACAACAATACTATTATAACAACAAAAAGTTTATTAAGTGCTTCACAAAGTATTTTTTAATATGGAACCAAAATGGCCGCGTTCCGGCAATGAAGCAAACAATTTTACCGAAAAAGACAATGATGTAAATATTAACTTTATTAATAACTGGGCAAAGGGCGAGATAAATTCTATAAATTCAGGAGCACTAACTGAATTTGATCCCAGTTATGTAAATAAAAAAGAAGACAGCCTCAGTATGACGGACAAGGAACAAGAAGAAGAAAGCAATGAAGAAGCCATTGAGTTTGTCAATGATATAATTTTCGAGCAAGTAAAACCTGTCGCTGATTTTACCTTCAATTTAGACGGTGAAATTGACTCTAAAAATAATTCCGAGGCTCCAAAGCGACCTGATAGTCTTTTTGATGCGCCAATCAAGAATCAGCAGCTGGCAAATGGCACCAATAAATGTTTGAGAGTGAAGTTCAGCTCTAAGAAGCGGAAGAAGTCTTCCAGATCGAAGAAAGAAATCAGCAAGGAGCAGCCAAGCCCGTCTTCAATTTCTACTTCTAGCTGCTCGCCATCAACAGGAGTGAGTTCTGATGAAGACAATTCTAGTTTTGAGCAGTTCGCGGAAGCGCGTCCGCCTGACGGAGGCTGGGGCTGGGTGGTCGTCGCGGCGGCTTTCATGGTCAACTTAATAGCCGACGGAATCACCTTTTCATTCGGAGTAATTTATGTGGAGTTTCTGAACTACTTCGGCGAGGGAAAGTCCAAGACCGCGTGGATCGGGTCGTTGTTCATGGCGATGCCGCTGCTGTCGGGACCGGTGGCGAGCTTTTTGACGGACCGCTACGGATGTAGAAGAGTGTCTATCGCAGGAAGTATCCTGGCGACGTTGGGGTTCGTGATAAGCTCGTTCACCAGCTCGATGGGCGTGCTGATCTTCACTTTTGGAGTGGTAGCAGGTTTTGGACTGTCCCTGTGCTTCGTAGCGGCGGTAGTGATTGTCGCTTACTACTTCGACAAGAAGAGATCTTTTGCCACGGGTCTCTCCGTCTGCGGGAGCGGCATCGGGACCTTCATCTTTGCCCCGGTGACGCAGTACTTGCTAGCGGAGTACGGCTGGCGAGGAACTACGCTGATTCTCGCGGGGCTGTTCTTTAATTTGGCTGTCTGCGGGTGTCTGATGCGGGACCTGGAGTGGACGACAGTCCGAGCCAAGGCCAAGTCTGAAGAGCGCAAGCGGAATAGAGAACGCAAGAGGACCACCAGGTATGAAAATTAATTAAGCAGATATTTATAATAATTTTAAGAATTTTTTTAACAAATAAATTATGGAAAAAAAAAACTTAAAAAAAAAAAAAAAAAAAAAAAAATGACGTCGAAATTTAAAAAAATTAAAAATACAATTTTTTTTTAATAATTTTTCAAACCAAATTTGCTTGTTAAAAAAAAATTAAAAAATGGTCAAGACTGCTAACTTTAATGTCATCCATCAGATTGCAGAGCTCCAGCGTTGATTCCTTCTCAGCGAGTTTGTCGATCAACACAACGAATCAAGCGCCGCACATCGGGAACTCGGTCTCTGCTAATCCAGTGGACGCTGACTGTCTCAGGAGGATTCACAAGGAAGACAACAACGGCAAGCTCTTTTCTAGTCTTCTTACCTTGCCGACGTTCTTGAAGAACGGAGACCAGGTTCCTCTGGAGGTCCTTGATCTTTTGTCGACGCGTAAAGATGTTTATAATGTCTTGATGCACAACTATCCCAGGCTCTTGACTTCCTCGAGGAGCATCAGCGACTCCGCGACGCTAAATGACATGGCAAACTGCCCAACTGTAACCGGCAGCCCTCATAGTCTAGACGCCCAGCAGACTACTCATCAAAAACAGTTCAAGTTTCTTAATAAACAGCACAAACATATTAGCAAAAAATTAAATACTGTTAAGTTAAGTTCAGATAAAGTTTCGAGCTCGGAACTCCAGAACAACGACGAAATTGCCTTCAATATTGCTTATTTATGGTGGCTCAATAAAAATGACGCTGGGCCTTTAAAAAGATCCGCGACTCTTGAGGCACATCGGAGAGTCGCACCGGCTTATTTAAAAAATGTCAGAGTTCACAGGCACAGTCTGACTTACCGGGGTGCTATGCTCAATATCAATAGATACCGCTTACGGGCATCCAGTTGTCCGGATATTTATAGAAATTCAATGACAACTATTGCTAAGACTAAATTTGTCTGGTACTCTGGTCTCTGGGAGTTTTGGGATCTGCTCGTGGACATGCTTGACTTTTCCCACTTTGCTGTTTCTAAGTTTCTTCTTTTTTCCATTAGCAATTTTCTGCTACACACTTGGTACGACGTGCCTTATGTTTATCTTACCGACAATGCTATTGAGATGGGCTTCAGTGAGACCGATGCGTCTATTTTGATTTCTGTTATTGGAATCGCTAATATGTTTGGCGAGGTAAGTTTATTTTTTATCTAAATTAAATATTTATACTTAATTATTGAATGCTTTCAGATTTTTCTTGGATGGGCTGGAGACAGAGCGTGGGTTAACGCGTCAATTGTCTACGCGCTTTGCATGATTTGTTGTGGTATCGCTACAAGCTTAATACCACTCGTTGATGGTAATTACTATGCACTGTGCTCAGTAGCAGGAGCTTTTGGAATATTTATCGCTGCTAATTACAGTCTTACGAGTATTATACTTGTTGAAGTTATTACACTTGAACGATTTACCAATGCTTATGGGTTACTTCTTCTTGTTCAAGGGATTGCTAATCTCATGGGTCCACCTTTAGCTGGTAAGTTTTTATTTTTTAATTTTTTTTGTTACCAATATTCTTAAAAATTAAGTTGAATTATTAACTTTAATATTTTTTTTTTTTTTTTTTTTTTTTTTCAGGCTGGCTCTATGACATTACCGGAACGTATGATTTATCATTTTATCTCGCGGGATTTTTCATTGCTCTGAGCGGTGTTCTTCTGATGGTAATGCCGCTAATGGGTTATTACAAAAAATGCATTAGTAGAAATAATGCTGACGTACCAAGAGATGAATTATCTGAAATAAATAGTGTATGAATTGAATATTTATATTGAAGATAAGAAAAAAAAAAAAATATTTAACAATTTTATTAAAAGGTAAAAATTGATTATAAATTTTGTTAGTAAATCTTTGAAAATAATTTTTTATTTAATAACTAGTCTCTTAGTAATTATATTAATTATTCGAAAAAATTGCATACTTTTTTAGTATTTTCATTAAAAATAATTTATATAAATATTAAAAAAGTACGCGTTAATTAAAACACAAACCATAAATAATATAATTAGATAAATTGTCAATCTCTAAAAAAATTAAAACTATTTTTATCGACATAATTAAATTAACGTCAGTAACTATTATATATTTTAAGAGCGAAATTACGAAAGTTCAACTCAAGTGTAGCTGAAGTCGTAATAATTAGATAATAAAATAAAATTGAATAATAATCCGTGGGATCATTTAGCCCATAAAGTTCAATACAATACTTTATGATAATAATATTGAATTGTTTAAAAAAAAAATTCTTTGACTTTATCTACAAGTATAATAAAATATTTCCTTTAGATACTTTATTATATAAAGAATAATAAGAACAAACATACTCTATTTGACTAAATTGTAATAAAGAAGAAAGATAGCAAAGAATAATAACAATAATTATAATTATAATAACTAATTTTTTCTAATATCACGAATGTTATTAAATCATAAATGTAATATTGTTTGTGCGATAAAACATAAGTATTGTCATCATAAAAGTAATAAATAATCGCGAGTTTATTATACGTATATATATATATATATATATATATATAAGTAATATAATAGTTTTTTATAGTACATTAACGTGTCATTTTAACAAAATACATCAGATTGCGGCCTTATCGGCATCTTTACTCTTATATACAACTATAAATATTATAAATTATAAATAGAAGCAATATTTTAATATTATTCAAATAGAATGGAGTACGGATAAATAAATAAGATAACAATTATTACATTTTAAAGTAAGTTATTCATTTAGTGTGAGAGGCATGGCATTAATATTTAACTTTTATTCAAATATATATATATATATATATATATATATAATTACTATTGAATTTTTAAGGAATTATACTAAATTATTTCAAATATATCTGTATTAATTCATTAATTAATTATTATAAATAAAAGTAATGCATGCTCGCTAAATCTCGTGCTGGAAATGGGATTTTTTATGCATGCGTATTTTAAATTCTCAAAAATTAGATTTTTTTTTTTTTTTTAATTAATTAATTAAATAAAGGATACAAATCTCAATAATATTACTTAAATATTGTAGCGTAACTCCCGATGAAATTTCGTGGCCTTTCTCATAAATTGTCAAGACCATATATTTTATTCCATTGTATAAATAGAGATTAATTAAAATCTGCCCGATATGCTGTCGTATTATTGAAAGTTATGACAATAGAATAAAGCTGTAATTATTTAAGAATTTATTCAATTAAAACTTTCTTTTTTTTTTTTTACACTTGTTTTTTTATTTTTTAAAAAATTTATCCTAGTCTGTATTTTTTATTTTATGAATTTTCTTCCCGATAATAAGACAGATTTAATATAAATTATCGTCATTTAATAAGCAATAATAAATCAGTAATTTTTACAGGAAGAATCCCGATGATGACATTTCAGTGCGCAAGAGCTAAGCATAAATATTACCAGGCTTGCGCGACGAATCTAAGGCATTTCATAATAGACATCCACTAAAATTTATTCTTCGCCAAGCTTATTGATAAATTCTGTTTAACAAAGTACCTAATATTTTTGCTCTCTTCTAATTTTATTTAAATTATTATCTTTAAAAAAAATAATTTATTAAATTAACCACTAAATTTATTTTTTAAGTCTTTTAAATTACAATCACAAATTAATATTTATTTTTTAAGTCCTTAGCAAAGATTACTTTTTTTAACGAACAAAAATATCTGTGATATTTTTAAATATTTCGCCCAAAAAAATCAACATCTAAAGCTGATAGTTTTCGCAGTAAGTTTACTTAATTATTATCTTATTAAATAAATTATTACACATAAAAATTAGTACTTAAAATCCTGGCACGCTCCTAGAAATATATTTCTATCTTTCAGTTGCTCACAGATAAATTTTAAACAAAACACACACACACACACACACACACACAAATTGCAGCATGAACAGGTGATAATTATTTCCACCCTTTTTTATTTAATTATTTCGTCAATTATTTTTTGCGTCAAAAAAATCAGAATTTTTTTAAATCATCATCTTCTTGAGAAGATAAGAGCAAAATGACAAGTTGCGGTAAAAAAAATCATGATTTTTTAATAATAATAATTTATTAAATTACAACTAAAAAATATTTTTAAAAAATTGCACTTATAGTTTTTGAAGTTTTTAACAAATGAAAAATTTTTTTTTGTAATAATTCTTTAATAATAATAATTTTTAGATGTCGGTTAACTTTGTATCATGATTTTTTATTATAATCTAACCAACAAAAATAACAATATTAATAAACATTTATTTGGGAGCTTAAATTGCACCCTAATAAGTATCGATTGCATTTTCTCTGACGCATACGCCGATTGACCTTAATGGATGATTCTCGTGTGGGGTAGCGTAAAGATTTTCCAAGTTTAGATTTCTATTCCTTCAAGAACTGATCATCATATCTCAAAGCTGACACCGTTGAAGAAAAAAAATCAACAATACACTCCGGAAAAAAACAGAGGAAGAAAACTTTTTGTAAATTTTAAAAACATTACTCATATTTATAAGATACACCTGTTATAATAATTTTTAGTTTATTAGTTTATGTTTATAAATAAGTATGATAAATCAGAAGCTTAGCAAGTTAGCTGAAAATCAATTGGTTGGTAGTCATGGTTACGCACTTGCTAGCGAGCACTCCCCGTTTTCAAGGATATCGTTATTAACTTTCTTTACACATCATGATTATTTATTGCGCCATTTCCTTTATCCGGCTACTTTGAAAATTATAAGTCAATAATATAATAACCCTTATTTGTCAGAGTAAATACGCTTAGTGTATTTATAGAATTTTTTATACTTATATTTATACAGACGTCACTATTATTGATCTGATTCTAACCTATATTGATTCTGATTTTTTTGACAGATTGTTTTTAATGGAGTATTCTGAGTGAAGAATATTAATTTTGTATTTTTTTATTTTTTTATTTTTTTTTTTTTTTTTTTTTCCAGTAATGGTGGCATTTTATTTTATTTTATGCCCTTTTATGTTTGTTAAGCGTTTTTTTTCAATTGCTTGTGGTCAGACGCTTTAATATAACAAACAAAATACCTGAAATTACGCAATTTATATTAAATTAAATATTTTTTAATGGTAAGTATTGTTTTTAATTGTTGAAAACAATAATGAAAATAATAGACGTTTGAAAATTATTTTTTTTTAATTGTTAATTTACAAAAATATATAAAACTTAATAAAAATAAATTTAGAAGATATTTGACAATTTTTGAAAAAAATTTTGGAATTTTAATAAGTAAAAAAATTTCTTTTAACATAATTTTTATTAAAAAAAATTGTTTGACGTCTAATACTTCCATTAATGATATTATTTAAAATTTAAAACTTAAATATAGATTTTTTAATATTTTTTAACAACCAAATTAGTTAAATAAATTATTTTTAAAAAATCGGATTCTTAATTTTGTAAAAATTAATTTTTATTCTATTTTTTTCACCAAAATTTATTTATTAAAAAAATTCTTATAGTATTATTAAATGTCTCTTTAATGAATTTTGATTAAAAATGAATTAATTGACAGGAGGCGAAACGAGAGAAAAAAGCGTGTATGCTGAGGCTTCGGAGGACTAGCGTGAAAATATCAACGTGCATACTAAAAGTCCTTATGCTCTGTAAACCGATTTATCGTCGTGACATAATTCCGTGCAATATCCTCGGACTGAAAGGTTGGCCCCGTCGTTGGACTCACTCTTGTAGCAATAATTACATTTAGAAGATTCAAAATAAATGTCAGACGACAGACTAAACTCTAATTACATAACAACGGAGAGTAAGCTAACCAATCTCCTGGAAAGGGAAATGAAAACTGTAGTCAGTAATGTAAATAATAATAACAACAATATTCATGATATCAATAACACCAAAAGTAATAACGTCGATAGCTGTAATAAGATTAAGTCCAAATCTAGAGGATCGTGTTTAGATAGTCCAAAGAAGGGACCAGCACCTTTAGTCGGGTGGCAGAACGACAGTCCAACAGTTTGCACCACTTTGCCCAACACCAATAACATCAACAACACCACCAACAATTCATTCAACTCAACTCAGGACGACAAGGACAACGATTGTGGGTCTAGGAAAAGCTCAGGAATCGGGAGAGACTCTAGTCTAGCTCTCACCAACGACCACTCGAGTATCGATACCATTTCTTCCCACAAAAATGAGAGCGAGTGCGAAAGCGAGAGCTTGCTGACACCCAGCGGTGATCCCTTTCCCAACAGGCGAAGCAATGAAGAGAAAAATGACCAAGAAAATGGAGAATGCATGGTAAACTTCTCAGCAGAGTCCTCGGTGGTGGATCTGGTCTTCGACTTGAAGAAAAACCTGGGAAGAAATGCTACAAGCATCGATTTAGATTCTTGCAATGAAGATCCCAAGATTCCTGACGGTGGCTGGGGCTGGATGGTAGTCTTAGCCTCGCTGGTGATCTCGCTGATAGCTGATGGAGTGTCATTCAGCTTCGGCTTGCTGTACATCGAGTTCCTGAACGAGTTCCGGGCCTCCAAGTCCAAGACTGCCTGGATTGGCTCGCTGTTTATGGCAGTTCCGCTGATGAGCGGCCCGGTGATGTCCGCGCTGGTCGACAGGTACGGCTGCAGGAAGATGACCATCCTAGGAGGCCTGATCTCCGGGTTCGGGTTCACGCTCAGCTCCTTCGGTACTTCTATTGAGTTTATGTTTCTGACTTTCGGGATACTATCGGGCCTGGGGCTGGGTTTATGCTACGTAACAGCGGTTGTTAGCATTGCTTATTGGTTTGATAAAAAGAGAACCCTGGCCATGGGGCTAGGAGCCTGCGGGACTGGCATTGGAACCTTTGTTTATGCGCCGCTGACTTCCTTCTGGATCTTCGAGTACGGCTGGCGCGGAACATGTCTTCTGCTTGGAGGTACCTTCCTCAATCTCATTGTTTGCGGCTGCGTGATGAAGGACCCGGAGTGGTGGGTCATCGAGCAGCGGAAACAGTCCATCGAGTCACCGAGAAAGTCGATTGTCAGGTCGGAAAATGGGAGGTCTTGTTCGGCGATCAGTGTTGAAGACTTTCCTGGTATTGAGGAATTAAGAAAACTACTCAAGAGTGGCAAGACGCCTGAATGTCAGCTGCAGAGCTTGAGGACCAGTCTTGTCACTCCTTGTGATGGAACGCTGGGATCTGAGGGAGGCTCTGGGTTCAGGAGTGTTGTTAATCTGCCGACTTTTGTACGACAGAGTGAAAAGGTAGTTTTTTTTTTTTTTTTTTTTTTTTTTTTTTTTTTTTTTTTTTTTTTTTTGATAAATTAGCTTTTAAATTATTATTTAAGTATTTAATGACACTTTTGACTGATGGAAATTTTTTTAACTGTTTTGTAGGTGCCGTTGGAAGTCCTTGAGTCATTGTCAACAAACTCTCGGCTGTATAATGTAATTTTGGAAAATTACCCAAGTCTTTTACTTTGCAGAAGTATTTCTGATAAAAATGTTGATCAATCTCCAACGGGTGAAACTTCTAATAAGGCTGGAGTAACTATGTCTATGAGGTTTGAATTTTTTTATTATACGCATATTGTATATATTAATAAAGTTGTGATGACACTTTAATTAATAAAATTCTAGAATTAAGCAAGCTAAAGAAAAGAATGCAGTTATTAAAGAAGATGCTCCAAGATTCGAGTGTCCTATTGATGACATGACCAAAGTCCAGACATTGAAAGTAAAAACGGACTTTGAAAAGGTATTTTATTAATTAAATCATAATAAATTTGGAATTAATGAAGAATATATATTTTTAGACAGTAGAGCAAGAAAAATCAAAACATCATACTCCTGGTATTAATTGTGATATTGTCAGAACTGATTCATTACCTTGGCTAAGACGACAATTCAATCCAAATACTCATTATTTCAAAAATATTAGAGTACATAGAAATTCTGTGATGTATCGTGGTGCAGTACTTAATTTACACAAATACAGGTTAAGGGCCAGTAGTTGTCCTGATATTTTTAGAAACAGTATGACAACTCTTGCCAAAGAAAATGAAGAGGTTAGTTTTCATTGTTTTTTATTTCTTCTTTTTTTTTTGGTACAAAAATAATTTAACACAGTGTAAATTAAGACTAAATTTGTACGTATTTTTTTTTTTTTTTTTTTTTTTTAAATTACAAAAAATTATAATACTAAAGTTAGCCGACCTTTTTATTTTTTTTGATTTTTTTTCATTAATTGAATTTTTTTTTATTTTTTTTTTGTAATAATTTTTTCAATAAAAAAAAAATTCTAAATTTTCAGATGTCGACTAACTTAATTTTCAAGAAATGATTAATTTATAAATATATGAATTAACTTTGTACTGTGTTTACAATAATTAAAAAATAATTATGACACTAAGCAAAAATAAATTATTACAGAAGTGGTACAGTGAAATAGTATCTCTATTTAAAGATATTATGGACTTTTCGATGTTTCTGGAATTGCACTTTTTAGCACTGTCTTTATCAACCATCACGTTGTTCACCTGGTTCATCGTGCCTTACTTTTATCTCGCGGAACACTTAACAAGAAACGGATACTCAGAAGCGGATGGCGCGCATCTTCTCTCCATTATTGGAATTTCAAGTACAATTGGGATGGTAATTAGTTAATTAATTAATTTATTAAAATAATATTAATAAAAGCTTTGATGTCAGGTTTTTCTTGGTTGGGCTGGCGATCAACCCTGGATGAACAGAACAAAGACATATGCAGTATGTTTAATTGGCTGCGGCATTGCAACGATATTTATGAGCACATTCGTTCATAATTACACGATTTTAATGGTGAGCGCAGCGTTCTTTGGATTGTTATTCAGCAGCAACTTGAGTTTCACACCGGTAATTGTCGTTGAACTGATTCCGTTGGAACGGTTTACCACAGCCTATGGCCTGAGTTTACTCTGCCAAGGAATAGGTAATTTTGTCGGGCCTCCTTTTGCCGGCCTGCTGTTTGATCTGACCAACACTTGGGATATGTCATTTCTACAAGCTGGCGGGTGGATTATTGTCTCTGGTCTCCTTGTAGGTATTATTCCGTATACGAAAAATCGAAAAATATGGGGAAGTGGTCTCATCGAAATGGAACAGTATGCATAAATGTGTCATCACTTTCATTTATATTTTTTATATTATTTATATGTATTACTTTTTGTTGGTACTATTTGTTCTTGACTGTTAATCAATTATCCAAAGATTTAAATGTTGTTTGATATATTACTTATTACATTATTAACTTGTATAAACATTATATTATAAATATTTAACAATATATGTTACTTACGACTGTTATTGTAATATCTATACTTTATTACATTTATAAAAGTCATATAATTATATACAGGTGATTTTAAAAAATATGTAGAAAATAATGGGACAAAATGTGTGAGTAATTTATACCACAATAATAATCAAGTCATGCCGTTACATAATAAAGTGTCTAGTAAAAAAAGAAATTTTGCTTTATAAAGTCAAGTTTTTTTTTTTTTATTTCTTCTTTAATTAAAATTTGATTGTGAGCTTGAATAAAATTTATTAATTAATTTTAAGTTTAAATTAAAACTTGAAAATACTCAAATAATTTTCCCAATAATAAAAATTTTAAAAATTTGAAGAAGAATATAAATTTTATTATTTTTTTGGTACGTTTTTTAAAACGGCTGATTAAAAATCACAGGTTTGTTACTTTATAAATTTTTTTTTTAAATATTTAAAGTGCTAACTTTGATAAACTCACATCAAAATATTTTACCACAATTATTATAAACTTTAGGGCAATATTGATTAGCTATAACAGCATAAGGTACATCACTCCCAACTTTTATTTCTTCAGAATGACTTAGTTTATTCCAGACATGAATAGCATACGCTTTACGAATTACCTTTAGTGTTTCAGTTATATTTTTAGAATCAAAGTATTCCTTCCACATCTTGTAGTGAATTGGATAAAACGCAGAAGGTGGGTAAACCGTGAATCCGTGACAGCGTTTGCTGGTCATATCACGTGCCTGATAAGTAATTCGTGTTTAAATATTAAACAGTAACTTACACTGCATAAACAAAATAAAACACTCACATATTTAGTCGCACAGATTTTTTGAAGCGTCCGAGTAATAACGCCAGGTCCATTATTGCCCCAGATATCTCCGCGAAAATTTTTTTTCAAGTCACGTAGACAAGCGTCGGCTACCTGGCGCCCGAGATGAGACGCTCCGAATCCTATTACACCTGCAGCAACGTCATCCCAACTTTCAGCGCCAGTAAAATCCTTCAGCTTCTCCAACGGGCTGTAAAAGAAAATATTATTATTCTGTCAAGAAGTCTATATATAAATTATTTTTTATGAGTTCGCCAGCGAAGATAAAAAAAAAAAAAACAATTCTACGACTTATAAATAGAGTTAGTTTAAGTTTGCGAATGTGTTATTATACTTTAACGTTAAAACATGTAATTAACTTTTAGTTTACTATCAATAATAATTATTTAATCTTATCACTTAAAAAAAAATTTATTTTACAGTACATTTTCTGCAAATTTTTATTTATTTTTATTAATCCCGACTGATATTTAATAAAAAAAAATAAATTATCAGATATATTATCAATATTGCAATAAAGTAAGCTGATAAATTTGATAAGTATTTTTCGTAGTTAATATTTACGACAAGCTTACTTAGTCACAGTCAATAAAATAATTTTTTTAATAATTAACTCAAGTTTTCTTTCAATTATAGAGGCAGCTGTTTCTTAATTAAAAGAATTCGCACTGAATACTTTTAATTTAACTCAATTGATATTATAAAATTTTATCCTGTTGATATTGACACTTTTAGAGGACAATTATTAAAAATTTCTTGTTTTTCTCTTATTCTCTTAAATCCCTTAAATCTATCTTCTTTTTACAAATGATATTTATTGTATATAAATATTACTAAAACATTAAAAAAAGTGAAAAATATAATTAAAAAAAGAAAGTCAAAAGATATATTTAATATAATATATAATATCATTATGTAAAAGCTTTGAGAAAAAACCTATTATTATTAATTAAACATTCTAAATATGAAAATGTAATATATTGTTGTAATTTGCCAAGGGAGTTTTTTTTTTTTTTTTTTTTTCAAATAAATAAAATGAATAATTAAAAAATTTTTCTACTTAAGCTTTGCTTAATAAAAATATAAACTTACGATTTAACAACAACATCAAGATCAAGATAAATTCCTGGAAACTTCCAAAGCGTAAGGTACCTAAGTATATCAGACATATGACTTCTAGGCCATCGACTAGATTTAAGGACATTACTGGCCCACCATTCCTCAATAGGAGTGTCTTTAACATACTCCTCCATGAATATCCTCCTGATATGAATATTCTTGTAACTCTTCAAATGCATTATCAAATCCTTACTACTGTTAGAAAAATTCATATTACTTAAAACCAATAAATAAATATTCATCCCGGGGTTTATTTTAGCGGCCGATTCAACAGCACAAGCTTGTCGGGCATTCAGAACGATTCCTTGGTCAAAGCAGGATGTCTCGTGGAAGAATATATTCTTCCCAGCAGCCAATCTTTCGGCATCTGTAAACAATCACCAGTTTAACAATCACTCCGACAATTTAATAAAAATTAATTTAAAAATAAATTATCAAACCTTTGGTGTCAAAACTTTTAAGAGAATAAAAAGCCGACGGTTCATTGTAACATGAAATATCCTCGATTGACGAAGAAACTAAGCTTGCAATCATCTCATTGTTGCAACTCAGTACAAATATAAACAATAAAACTCCAAAGCCACTGCTTATCAATATCTTTTTCCTCATCTTGCCGGAATTAATTAATAAAATATCACTGTATTTTCCGAACCGCATGACTCTTTATTTCCGGTGACTCAGATAAGCAATATTGTTTTTCTCTCCACTCATTTTATAATAATTAAAATTTTATTTTAAAGTCAGAAGATATTTGTTCTTCTCTCGAAGAAACACCAAAGATGTATATTTATCCATTTAAAATTATCTAAAAAAAATCATACACTTAATTATTGATTAACTTCACAAAAATAATAAATATTATTTTTACCTATATCTTTACTTTACACCATTTTGTTTTGGCTATAGGTACTACTTACTACCCGCAATAGTTAATTGCGAAGACGATATTGTACTAACTGACTAGATTTACTTATGGGATTATTTGTTTAAACAAACACAATGATTTATTTATTACACTGGGAAGCGAGTGCACAGTACGTTCTCTTTTTGCGTTATGTCTATTCAATGGCCTTGCATTTATTCAACTAACTGCCAGACCTCGACATCGCTGCAATTCTTGGGTGGAGTAGGATATTCTCGAAAATCAATAAAACACCAACCATCGCTGTACAATATCATCCAGCACGTGCTAAACTTTTTGCCAATGGTTTTAAGACCAGTTTTGTGAACACAAAAATTACTAAAAAAATTTTTTTAATAAAAAACGTACTACAACAGAAATTTTCTTAAAAATTGATTTCTTCTTTTTGATAAAAGAAATTTTCGTACTTAATATATTTTTATTTAAAATGTTGGATTATTTTTAGTCTGTATTAGTCTGTTCTTAATAAATGTGTTTCAATTAGTATACTCTATAGCGAACTGATTAATCACGATAGTTGGCCAGTAAATTATTAAATTACGGTGGGTGTGTGACAATTAACTTATAGAGCTGAAATTAAAAAAATCATATATCGATAAATTTATGAGTCATCCATTTATCTTCTTATCATTGAGATTATTATTATTATTATTATTATTATTATTATTATTATTATTATTATTATAAAATGTAGTGTTTTTTATTAGATAATAAATTATTTATCGCTAAATTTTAACCAAGTTGAATTTAAAAATTAAATGCCCAGTTAAAGGGAAGAAATCTAAATAAATTAATTTAAGTAAATAATTAATAAAAAAATTTTGCAGAGTTAATTTTTATTAAAAAGAATAAAATAAAGGGGGATATTATTTTTAGAAATAAATTTTTAATATTGTAGCACTTCATGCGAGTTGTCGCTTTAATGCATGGTCATATTAACAAACAATTATGACGGCAGGCATGTACGAAGGCCGAGGGTCAATTCGATCTAATCTATTTCATTGACTAAACTCACATTTAATAGTTAATTGAATTTATAACGCGCTCAATAGAAAAATGTTTTACTAGTATTAGTTATAAATTGTAAATAAATTCTTCGGTAAATGATTAGAGTATGAAAACGCATACCTGTGGTTTATATAAATTTGCCATCAATAAATGTTTGCAATAAAATTGATAAAAATCTGGTAAATATTTAAATTTATAAATAGTTGATTTGCGATTTGAAAATAAAAAATTAGATAAAACAGTTGGATTATCTTGAAAGCCAAGGTCATCATTGCTTCTATATTCGATGCAAACATTTCAGCTAATGATGACAGTGCATAGATAATACGTCATCGAATTATTGGAGCTGAAAAGAAAAATCATCCGGCCACCAAGTGTGGATTATTATTATAATTTATGAATGTGTTTTACTGAATAAAAACCTGTTTTGGTGTAACAAAAACAAATGTTTGATATCTGTCATAAATATCAGAAATTAATATTAAGTACTTTCTCTTGAAGTGATTAATTACATGTTATTAATAGCTTATTTAAATTCCATTTATTTCATTCATTGAAATAAAAGTGATAATTTCACTTTGAATAATTATTTTAAATAATTATTTAGAATACTGAAGTTAGCTGACAGCTGTCAATTTTTAAAAATCTTATAAAAAAATCAATTAAACTAATAAAATGCTTTTTTTAATTAAAGAATTATTAAAAAAAAATTTTTTCATTTGTTAAAAACTTTAAAAACTACAAGTGCAATTTTTTAAAAATATTTTTTAATTATAATTTAATAAAAAAATAAAAAATATCGGCTAACTTTATTACTATCAATTTTTTTTTTTAGTTTTTTGTCATAATTTATTTGTTAAAAAATAATAAAAAATAATAAAAAAAAATAATTTTCTTCTTTATTTTAAGCATCCTCCATTTTGTTTTTAAAATTACACAGTAAAAGCCATTAGATTTATCTCTATAAATTATAGAATGTTGCTCTTTGCCCTTGAATTTTCTTCCTGTTTACAGTAAAGCATTAGATAACACCCAGAGAAGTGAACAAAGTAGACCAGTAGCCGTGACCATATTAAAATAGTTAAATGTTTTTTTTTTTTTCCCCCTAAATAAAAAACAACTAAAAAAGTAAAAAAGAGTGATAAATGTTTTACCAGCTGCGCGCAACAACGAGAAACCGTCTAGTATAAAATTGTCCACAAGATGGCGGTCAGTAATTTAAAAAGGGGTTACTATACGTTGCACGTCTTGTACATAAATAACACGAATATCAAATTGGAGTATGATGAGGTGTATACACACAACGAAAATGGCGACGCTGGATTAAAGAAGTGTCTCGGTGGTCTATTATCCCCTGTAATGTTGAATAATAAAAAATAGTTGAAATGTGGCAAGACTTGGATACTCTGACCAGTTCGGCAGTTAATTCTGGGTCTCAGCAGGCTGATCAATTCAGCACGACAGGTAATTTTTAAAAAAAACAATATTATATCCAGTAATATATTTCCTACCACTCCGTATCTGGTACTGACATAATGATTCCTAATTTACATTAACATTTTACCTTGCTGTTGTTCCGTTTTTTCTTTTTTGTTCACGTGATTCCGTAAACAAATCTACTGATCGCTGGCGTCCTACCAAAATTTATTGCGACCAAATAAATAATTCCACGATAATCCGATGACTTTTTGTTGTTAATTTAAATTAGATGTGTCATAACACAAATAATCATCGGTTGATTCATTTTAAGATAGAACAATGTGATAGTTGTACTTATGAGCAATGGGTCTGTCTTTTATTTTATTTTAATTAATTGTCATTTTGTTTTTAAAATCAATACATGTTTTTAAAAGTTAACCACTGGCTTACGGATAGAAGACGGAGTAATTTTTAGAAATTAAACGGAGAAGAAGAAATTCCAGTTTTTTTATTCTTCTAGAAATTTTTAATTAATTTCTTTAAAACCAGCTGAAGAATAAACGGGTTTAACATATTTGTCGGGCAATTACATAACTTCCTGTAATATAACAATGGAAAAATCTTACGGTACTACGGTTATATATTACATTAACAACTATAAATAATTTTATTAATTTCAAGCTGTTTTATATAAACTTTAAGTGTCAGCAGATGTTGATCATCTGGTTAAATTATATACCTGTCAATATTATTGCCAATCTCAATAATAAATTACAATTTACTTGTCTATACAATATACTCAACTCAGTATATATTTTCAGAGTGATTTAATAATCATTTTGAAATTTAAATAATATTTTTTATTCTTTTGATAGAACTAACACCGGAGCAACAGAAGATTCTTATTGACATTCGCCGAAAAAAGACTGAACTATTACTCGAAATTCAGGTAACTTGCTGTTAAGTTTTTAATTAAGTGTTACTCATAAATAATTGAAGATAGAATTTAATTTTTTTTTTTTTAAATAACTGAACATGGTTTCTAAAAATTCCACCCGATTATCTTTTGGAATTTTAAGTGATAATTTGTTTTGATATATAAAACTTTTTACAAATAATATTTTTGTTTTTTAAATAAATATTTTTGTTGTGTGTAATGAGAAGATGCATTAAATTGAAAGTATTTTAAAAACAAATCGTAAATCATTAATTTGTTTCGGTTGTGCGATAGTTAAATGAGATATGAGCAAAGATAACGCCGTTTCCGTAGCTAATTGATAGAGCAACGTTTACTCATCGCTTTAGTATCGTTTTACTGATTACAGCGGACAGACATTTGTTTGACGAGACAAAAGGACTTTCTAGTGTTAATTATTGGATTTTGTTTGAATTAGTGTCTGTTAATAATGGTATTATAATTAATCATTAGTATGTATTTTTTTATTTTTATTTATTTAATATAATAATTATTTTTTAAATTATTCAATTTACAAATCAAAAAAATTAATTTTAAAATAATACATGACATTTTTATTCTTCTTGTAAAGAATTTTCTATAATAATAATAATAATAATAATAATAATAATAATAATAATAATAATAATAATAATAATAATAATAATAATAATAATAACTAGCAACCTTGCAGTCACTATGTGACTGCCGTGACTAGTGAAATATAAATAACTAAAATTTTGCTTTATTAAATTAATGACTTTTGTTAAATTGCTCTGTACTTCTTTAACTATTGACATTTTTTTAAGATATAAGCTCATCCTGATGTTACACTCATCAAGAGCTTTCATTTAAGTACCCACATCAATTTTCATATATTTTATATATTTATATATATGTATATATGAAAAATATATCAAAAATGCATGTGGGTACTCAAATTAAAGGTCTCGATGAGTGTAATGTCAAAATGAGCTTATATCTTAAAAAATGTCAATAGTTCACAAGATACAAGGTCATTTCTTAATTATGTATCTAGAGATAGAGCATTTTCGAATGCAGCCATCTTATAAATACACTGGCCACAAAATTTTGCTTATTCTCTTAATAATTTAGATAATAATAATAATAATAATAATAATAATAATAAAAAAATCTCATTATAGCAATTAAAAGATGAGCTTGGAGAAGTTGTCGCCGAAATGGAAGTCATGGAAGGAGGCGGATTCACCGTTGACGAATCAAACAAGCCGTCAAACAAAACAAAACAAACATCAATCGGCCGTAAAAAATTCAACATGGACCCAAAGAAGGGTATCGAGTACCTGATTGAGCATAATTTATTAACACCTACACCCGAGGACGTCGCCCAGTTTCTGTACAAGGGCGAGGGACTCAATAAAACCGCGATCGGAGATTACTTGGGAGAACGACATGACTTTAACGAGCGTGTGTTGCGTGCCTTCGTCGAGCTCCATGACTTCACGGACCTGATACTCGTCCAGGCGCTTCGGCAATTCCTCTGGTCATTTAGGTTGCCCGGTGAAGCGCAAAAAATAGATCGGATGATGGAGTGCTTTGCTCAGCGATACTGTCAGCTTAATCCCAATATTTTTACAAACACCGATACTTGCTACGTACTCAGTTTTGCTATCATAATGCTCAACACTTCGCTGCATAATCCCAGCGTCAAAGACAAGCCCAGTGTCGAACAATTTATTACTATGAACCGGGGGATTAATAATGGAGGCGATCTGCCAAGAGAATTACTTGTAGTACGTATTTTATTTTTATTTACAAAAATTCTTTTTTTTTTTTATTTTTAATAATTAAGTTATTTATTATTATTATTTTTTTTTTTTATATATTTTATTTCTTGGATTAGAAAAATAAAATACTGTTGAGGATGTTGAGGCTTATTCGAAAGATTAATGTTTAATTTTTAACGCTAAAATAAAATTCAATTTTTAGAGTTTATACGAAAGCATTAAAACTGAGCCATTTAAAATACCAGAAGACGATGGAAATGATTTAATGCACACATTTTTCAATCCTGATAAAGAAGGCTGGCTCTGGAAGCAAGGTAATAAAAGTTATTATAAAATATGGACTAGTGTCTCCAATAAAAAAAAAAAAAAAAAGTATTTTTTAAATTATAAGATATTTTACAAAGCTAAAAAGGGGAGACAGTAGTCTAAACATTCTAAATTTACGATGGCAAAAAATAGAGTTTAAAAATATATATACATTTTTTTTTGCCCTCGTAACGTTATCGGGCGTTAAACTAAAAAAGATGGAAATAATGAAACAATCGATTTTTACCCTGTCCCTCTGCTGGCTTGATGGAGACAGCAGGTAAATAGTCTGCCCCAATAAGCGCGCTCTTAATTTATTATTTTTATTATTATATGTTACATAATTGTTACAGGCGGACGGTATAAGAGTTGGAAGAGAAGATGGTTTATTCTCAACGACAATTGTCTCTATTACTTTGAGTACACTACTGACAAAGAGCCGCGTGGGATTATACCGCTGGAAAATATTCAAGTTAGAGAGGTTCAAGATAGACATAAACCGCATTGCTTTGAACTCTATGCTGCTGGTTCGGAGTTTATCAAAGCATGTAAGACGGATAGCGAAGGAAAAGTCGTAGAAGGTAATTTTTTTTTTAATTAAATTTAATTAGTATAATTATTTATAAATTAAATACAACTAACAACCTTGCAGTCACTATGTGACTGCCGTGAACTATAAGTTAATAAAATTTTGCTTTATTAAATAATGACTTTTGTTAAATTGCACTGTACTTTCTTAAATATTGACATTTTTAAAGATATAAGCTCATCCCGATGTTACACTCATCAAGAGCTTTCATTTGAGTACCCACATGCATTTTTGATATATTTTTCATATATACTTATATATAATATATATATATATATATATATAAAATATATGAAAAATTGATGTGGGTACTCAAATGAAAGGTCTTGGTGAATATAATGTCAGGGTGAGTTTATATTTTTAAAAATATCAATAGTTCACAAGATACAAGGTCATTTCTCAATTATTAAGAAGAAATTATCAGGTTTTTAAAATTTATTTTAATTATTAAATTAACATATGAATTGATTCCAGGTAAGCATACTGTTTATCGAATGTCAGCTGCGACAGACGAAGAAAAAGACGAATGGATAAAATGCGTAAGACAAAGTATATCGCATAATCCATTTTACGACATGCTAGCAGCGCGAAAGAAAAAAGCACAAAAAACAAATCTTCACTCGAAGAGTTAAAACGAATAATTATTTCCCGTTTATTACTCACAGAGTATGTAACATATAAATAGTAAAGTACAATTAACGGTCACACTCGGTGATTTATGATTACAATCATAACAAATAATAATAATAATAATAATAATAATAATAATAATAATAATAATTTTCTAATCAAACTTTCTTAGATGTATATAACAATTGTTTGAAATTTGTTTGTTGTCTAATTCGTTTATTTTTTCGCAGATAGTGTTGCTTAGTATATATATAAAGTATATAAATATAAATATATAAATAAATATATATTTATTTTGTAAAAGTCTGAAATGTCTTCTGTATATCTTCGCTTGTGTATCAATAGAATTTTTTAATTCAAGATAAATATCTAACGTAGGAAGGAAGAAAAGTCGTGTAAACGTTTGTTTATGTGATAGTTTATTTATTTAAGCAGATATATGTTTAGTTTAACTAATTAAGAAATCAAGTATTTGTTTGGCCATATGAAAATATTATGTTAAAAAGGTAACATCCTCATTCAATAATAATTATAGCAACAATATGAGAGCAAAAGAGTCATGCTCGTACTATAAGATAAATAATGAGAATGAGGCTAACAAGCGATTGCAGTTATCATTATCACTGATTTACTTTGCTTCAGGGTTATATATATATATATATATATATATATATATATATATATATATATATA